TATGTTATTCTCCAAATCAACGCGAGCCAGAGTTTCATCCTCCAGTAATTTGCGCGCCTCGTCTAATTGCTTCCGCAAACGCTCCAGCTCTTTAAGAGCTTCATTTAATTCATCCATAGCCTTTTTGCGGTCAGCATTGGCGGCATTGTATTTATTACTCAAGTCAGCAGCGCGTGATTCATACATACGAGCATTACCTAAAGGGAAATAAATGTAAATTATCGTCGTTTAAAGTACAAAACCGCGTATCGTCATTCTGCAAAACCGCGTAACTGACATTGGCTGCCAAAAATTGGATTTGCTCACACAAGCTCTTGGCTCAATCCTTATCCATTCGTACTGAAATATTACTAGCCGGAAATGCGATTGCTTTATAAAAATGATAACCATTTTTAAATAGGTATTAGTGTTTTTACTCTCTAGAAAATAATTTATGCAATCTCACATACGCGGTTTTGCATTTTGCTTATACGCGGTTTTGCATTTTGTTGATACGCGGTTTTGCACTTTAAACGACGTTATACATTTTATGTTGTTATATATCTGTGTTCGTATGGAAAAGTAGCTTATGTCGAAAGGTTGGCTTTAGTATAATGCGGCAATCCCTTTATTTTTTAAACGGCACGGAATTTTTTGATGAGACTTAATAAGAATATTGCCTTGCTAGTATCGGAACTATTTCTTCCACGTTTATTTGCCAAAAGTTGTTCAACGTCTTAGCGCCAGTGAGTCATTCGCAATCGTATGCTGCGAATGCCGATTTATACTAAAGCCAGCCTTTCGACATAAGCTACTTTTCCATATGAACACAGATATAATCTAATAAAAATACAAAGTAAACGCAAAACGCTTGTCATTGATTGATAAATCACATTTTTATGATAAGAATGGATTTTCTCATACCTTCGGCAAATGAGCAATCTTTAGTTTTCTTGTCTAATTTTGCCTTCAATTCCTCATTTTCATCCCAAAGGCGCTTGGTGTCAATCTCTAATTTGGCCTTTTCCCGTGCCGTTTCATCCAACAACCGTCTCGCGTCACTTAACTCATTTTCGTACATAGACTTGATATTGGTAGCCTCACGGGTGACAGTGTCGCGCGTGGTCTGCACTTCAATGGATAGACGCGCATTTTCAGTTTCCAAATTACGAACACGGTCGATATAGCATGCCAAACGATCGTTTAGATTTTGCAATTCAGCCTTCTCCTGAAGACGCGAATGTCGCGTAGGACTCAGTGGGCTAGCGGAGCGATTAGCGCCGGGTATCAAAGGCGTAGATGTGCCGCCTGGTTGCGGTTGGGGCGTGGCTGTTCCGGCGCGTTTTGATTTCGTTGCCATTGTACACTACTACACGACCTAAAATATAAATATTTAACCTATTGGCTGCATTTCTTTATTCATTCTGAACGTTTGGAATAAACTTTTTTGTTTACTTATTCTTGAGAACATTCCTGGTGATATGTTAACGCATATTTCAAACGCGTTCTGTTTATTCTGGTTGCGAAATGGGATTATCCGGAATGTATAAAGAAAAGCAGCCATTATAAACTAAGGCTGCGTTTCTTTATACATTCCGGATAATCCCATTTCACAGCCGGAACAAACAGAATACGTTTGAAATATACGTTAGCATATCATCAGGAATATTCTAAAGAATAAGTAAACAAAAAAGTTTATTCCAAATGTTCGGAATGAATAAAGAAATGCAGCCAATATGTTAATATACAATATATGTATCTACGTGAATTTAATGCGGCCTTATCGATAGGACCAGTTTACATAAATGTAGGTATTTCTACAAATATTTCTGCGGCCGCAAGCATTGAAAAAGAAGTGCTACCCATTTGCAATATATGTATGTATCTTACTATCAAACATACATGTTTTTATAAGTATTAAAACTTTATTTTCTAAGTAGGTAGCTACATAAATTTCTTTTAAAAATAATCTACGCCTACATATTGTTTATACTAGATGCCTATACAAACTTTATAATCGACTTTCGTATAATCAGCCAATACCTTTTTTTTTTAATATAGATATACAATAACCCTCGGCAAATAGCTACGTATCGCTGGCTCAGAATGAAAAGTGGCTAAGTCCACTATTTTTATATTTTGATTCAAGAGGCAATATCAATTAAAAATACATCGCTTTCTAAGGTTGCAAACAGAGTGGAAGCGAAGCCGAAGACGAAGATGAAGACGAAGCCGAAGACGAAAAACAGTGCGGTAGTAAACATATGAAAGTGATCACAGTGCAAGCAAAGACGGAGACGAAGATGAAGATGTTGCGCAAGCGGTCAGCTTGAAACAGTGCGGTCCTGTTTTCAAAGACGAATCGCTTGCTGTGATGAGTTGTTTACAATTTATTTAACTGTTAGCAATTGTGAAAAAACGCGCTTTTTAAGAAATTGGATAAATTTTTGGTAAAATGTAATCACACGTATTAATTGGCATTCTTGTATATTCGAAAAATTTCTGTCCGTCTTGCCGTAACACATAATACAAGTGGCGAAATTCTCCAAAAGTTGTCCTATGCAAATTATTTCATGAATTGCTGTTTTTTCTTTATTTTCTTTTAATTTTATCTAACAAAAAGGGTTTTATTTAGCAACAAATCTTCATATCATTCATCTTCCACTATGTACACTCGCCAGCTTGCCCGCAACGCAAGCAATTCGTCTTCGGCTTCGTCTTCATCTTCGTCTTCGGCTACGCTTCCACTCTGTTTGCAACCTAACTGTTTCTATTGAGTGATATGCAAATTTGTTAAATCCCAAACAGAGATGCCAGACATTCTCTGTTAAATATCCCACGGAAATGGGGAAAAAATCCCTCAATTAGCCACATCTTGAAAATTTATCCCACAAAATGCCCAACGAATTTAAACAGGCTGACTTCCAAAACGTCAATTACTTTGCATACGTACAAAGTAGAATGTCCCATAACGCCGAACTACGAAATGTTGACAATGTATACTTTTCCAAAACGCATTCGAAAAGTTTGGAAACGCATCGCTAGAGCAATCAGTGCATCAGAAACAAAGTTGATGCTTCGTTTGTTTTTGATTACCATTGCTGTTTTAAAAATGGAAAATTCAGAAAAATTGTTCATTGATAAATTGAATATTTAAAATATGCAATGTATAAGGTTGCAATGTGTCGCAACTCTGCACATACAAACAGTTTGAATACCGCGGTATAACAGTTTCCAAACATTTTATTGATACGTTTTGGAAGTCAGCCAAATTTATCTTTATTTAATAATTACTAATTTACGCAATGGAGACACGGATGATGAAAAGAACGGCCTGAAACATAAATTTTCTTATTTGAAATCGAATACACAGGGCAACACTGATTTTGGTGCGGCAAATGTTAAATCTGTTTTTGACAGACTTTTTTGAGCTGATTACGAATCTGTAATTATAAAGTTCCATCACGTACAGAACTTGATAAAATCGTGGTCAAAGTGTCAAAAAAATCGGTTTTTTTCAATATTTGAGAAGCTCGAGCAAAGAGTAAAAATGTGGTAGAACCTTCCACTTAGGCTTAACTTAAAGCTAGAACCCTAGGCTACTGCCCCTGAAAATACCATCCCTGCACCTTTACTTGATGGCCATTTATAGTAATTTGTTGAACAATAAAAAAAATGCTGGCGAATTGTGCTATTGAAAAAAAAAATGCTGCCAAAATCAGCTTTTGCTGTTCAATAAACGACTATAAGTGATCTTAAGGTCAAGACGAAGAGATGGTATTTTTAGGGATTGTAGTCGAAAGTTCAAGCCTTAATTTAATTTTAAGTGGAAGGTTCTATCACCTTTTGTTTAATTGCGGCAGGGACCTAAACTTCGCCAAAAGTCAAATTTTACTGCCCAATAAATGACTATAAGTGACCATAAATTCAATGTGCAGGAATGGTATTTTCAAAGATAGTAGTCGAGTGTTCTTTCCTTAATCGAAGCATAAGTGGAAGGTTATATCACCTTTTTACCTTCCTTTTATTAGCTCGGGATGTAACTATGTAACATTGATGCGCCTAAAAGATGCAGCGATTTCTATTCTCAAGTTACATACCTGATGACAGTACGAATGGCAATTATAATAGGGAGGTTTTAGTTTGATAAACTATAATTTTATTACTCTTTGCTGGAGCTTCTCAAATATTGCAAAAGCCCGATTTTTTGACACTTTGACCTCGATTTTCTCAAAACCTGTACGTGCTGGATCCTTTGTACTTACGGATTCGTAATCAGCACAAAAAAGTCTATCATAAATAGCTTTAACATTTGTCGCACCAACATTTTCTTTTTTCATTTTTGTTGGCCTGTGATATGAAAGGAAGATAGTCAAAGGCTTGTAAAAACGAAGTTTTTTTTAACTTCGAATGGTTACAAGGAACCTTTGAGATTCCAATAGACTACCGAGGCTACAAGGTCGACCATGCAAGCCTTTTGGAGAACTAAGTGAGCAAAGCAAAATAAAGAAATTGGAAGAAGTTCGTGTCAACCATGGTACAATTATAACAGGTATTGTCTTCCCACAGATCGCATATT